CAACTTCCCTTTTTATGTTTTAAAGTCTCTTCAAAATCTTAGAATCACCCTTTTTATAAAAGCACATATTAGGATATTTGACAATACAGCACTTAAAAGCCATAAACTTAGCCCATAATCTTTACTTAGCAGGAAAGATAAACCAAAGATTGAAAATTCATGATCCAAATAAATCATTATTCTTAACCCAAACTTCCTTCCTCAAGCACCCCATAGTAGTTACTCCAAGAAGACCAAAGTAGTTTGGCTCGATTAGAGATGCTACACCAAAATAATTTGTTAAAAAGTCTCTCCAAATGGTTGCTAATAGAAAGAGTAGGTTGAATATTTTGAATAATATAAATGGGTAAGGAGTAAGTAAATAACAACACAAACAAACATAAAAAACACATGTTTTCATATGAGTGATAGAAATACATAAAAAACGGTGATATAAAATAATAACAAAAGTACAAGATAACTAGTGCTTTAAGGCATCATACAACTCATCACAAGTGGGTTACCTCCCAAAAGGACTACATATTTAGTCTTCATCTAGACTATACAAATTATTTTATTTTAGGATGAACCAATTTAGTTATATCTCACAATCGATCAATGTCCCCACTTAAAAATGATTTCAGTCTATGGCCATTCACTTTAAAAATATTCAATTATTTCTTATCCTTAATTTTGCAATTCCATAAGGAAATATTCTTATGACAATGAATGTTCCTGACCATCTGAATTTTAATTTTCTTGGAAATAACTTAATTCTAGAACTAAAAACTAATGCATCATATCCAGGAATGAATTTTTTCCTAAGAAGCCTTTTATCATGCCCTTTTTGAACTTTATTTTTATAAATCCTTGCATTTTATAAGCTTCATTTCTGAAATCTTCCAATTCACTTAATTGTATGAATCTTTTCTCTGTTATAATTTCAAAATTATAATTTAATTCTTTAATTACCCAGAATGCTTTGTGTTCTAATTCCACAAGAAGGTGGAAAGACTTTCCAAATATTAATTTATAAGGACACAATTAGGAGACTTGTAATAGTTCTATAGGCCCATAATGCATCATCTAACTTAATCGCCCAATCTTTTCTTTTTTAATTGACCATTTTCTCAAGGATTTACATAATCTCTATATTGCTAATCAAAGTCAGACCACTAGTTTAGGGATGGTAAGAAATTGCTACTCTATGATAAATCCTATATTTCTTTAATACTATTTCTATTTTTTTATTATTATAGAAATGACTTCATCCATCATTAATAAAAACTTTTGGCATTCTAAATCTAGAGAAAATATTTTTCTTTGACAACATGATCATAATTTTAGCATTAGTTTTAGAAGTTGCCGCACTTTCAATCTACTTTGAATTATATTCCATGATAATAAGAATATATTGATTTCCATAGCATGGCACAAAAGGTCCCATAAAATCTAATCCCTAAACATCAAATATTTCTATTTCTACAACATAGTTCAAAGGCATTTCATTTCTTTTTCAAATATTTCCTACTCTTTGGCATTGATTATATTTCATAATGTATTCATTTACATCCTTGAATAGAGTAGGCCAAAAAAATCTAATTTGAAGGAAATTAGAGGCAATTATAAATTCTCCAAAATGTCCCACATAATGAGAATCATGACACTCTCTAATGTTTAATTCTATTTCTTTTTTAAGAATATATATTCTCTTAATTTGATCTTTGAAAGATTTAAATGAATAAGATTCATCCCAAAAATAAAATTTTGTATCATGTAAGAAATTCCTCTTTTGATTATGATTTAAATCATAAGGAAGCATATCACTAATAATAAAATTTATAATGTCAGCATACCACAGTGAATTGCTCACATGAAGAGAAAATAATTGTTTATCAAGAAAGCTTTCATTAATATCATCTTCATTTAATGCTTAATTTTCAATATAAATTCTAAAAAGTTGATCATAAAGTTAATTTTAAACTCCCTTTTTTTCAAAAATTTCTACATCAAATTCTTGTAATTGAAGAATATGTCTAACTAATCAAGGTTTAGTGACTTTTTTTGTCATAAGATATTTGATAGCAGCATGAACAATATAAATAATTTATTTGGTGCCAACCAAGTATGTTCTAAATTTATTAAAAGTAAAAATAATGGCTTACAATTCTTTTTAAGTTATCTTATAATTACAATGTGCAAACTAAAAGTTTTGCTAGCATATAAATGAAATGGAATTTGTTATCTTGTTTTTATCCCAGAACAACACCAACAACAACGTCACTAGCATCACACAATACTATAAAAGGTAAAGACCAATCAAGATAAATAATTATTAGAGCAGTAACCAAGTGTTTTTTAATGTATTAAAAGCTTCAATAAAAGTAGAATAAAGTATAAAATGAACAACCTTCTCCAAAAGTTGACATAATAGTTTAGAAATTTTAGAAAAGTTTTTAAAAAATATTTTATTAAATCATACATGACCAAAGAAACTTCTTATTCCTTTAACAAAATTAGGAGGGGGTTGTTTTTCTATCACCTGAATTTTGCAATGTTTACTTCCAATCCTTTTTTTTATAAATATTATGCCCTATGACAATGCCTTCAGTTACCATAAATTGACACTTCTCCCAATTTAACATTAAATTTGTTTTCGTGTATCTTTTTGAAATAGAAGTTAAATGCTCAAGATAAGAATTAAATGTTGTGCTAAATATTTAGAAATCATCCATGAAAACTTCAGTACCCTTCTTAATTAAGTTTGAAAAGATAGACATCACACATCTTCAAAAAGTAGCAGGACCATTACACAGACCAAAATCCATTCTCCTAAAAGCAAAAGTTCCATAGGGACTAATGAAAGTAATTTTATCTTGATCTTTTGGTGCAGTAGGAATATGATAATATCTTGAATATCCATCTAGAAAATAATAAAATTGATGCCCTAACAACCTACCTAGCATTTAATCAAGAAAATTTAAGGGAAAAATGATATTTCTAGTGGCTTTATTTAATTTTCCATAATATATGCAAATCCTCCATCCTATAATAGTTTTAGTGGGTATAACTTTGTTATGTTCATTTTTTATTACATTTAATCCTCTTTTTTTTAGAAAAACAATGAGTAGGACTAACCTAAGAACTACCAAAGATAGGATAAATAACCAGAATCCATCAATTTAATATTCTATATTTTAACAACATCTTTCATGGAAGGGCTAAGTCTTCTTTGAGGGTAAGTTTTGGTATTGAATTAGCATTCATTAAAATTCTATGTAGGAAAATTGAAGGATTAATCCCCTTAATGAAAGCAATTGTCTACCCAAAAGCTCTTTTAAAATCACTTAACACCTTAATCAATTAACTTTCTTGATGTGATTTTTAATTTGCTAAAATAATTATAAAGAGAATAGTTAAAACCCAAAAAAGCATAATTGAGATGACAAGGTAATGCCTTAAGAAGTAAATTAGGGGCCTCTGAAATGCATGATTTTATAATTTTCTCAAAGGAAGATTATTCTAATAATGTAAAATTTATATTGATTAAACTTTAATTCCTTACTACAGATTCCCCTATCATTTGTTTATTTTTCTTCAACTTCTTTTTTTTCTTCTAATAAGTCTCCTTCTAATAACTCTTCCTTTATATTATCTATTACCACACCTTCTAAATCCACCCAAAGGAAGTTTTTATTCTTCTCTTGAGGGAATTTGATATATTTAAGTACATTAATTTTACTTCCTAATCTTAAGCCCTCATAATCAACTAACCCTTTTGAAAATTAATCATGGCTTTCGAAGTAGCTAAGAATGCTCTTCCTAAAATTATAGGTATTTCCCTATGTTCTTCCATATCTAGAAAAATAAAATCAACATGTTAAACAAATTTATCAACTTTAAACAAAACATCTTCTATTACTCCTCTTGGGTAAGTGAAAGATCTATCATCTAATTAAAGAGTAATATAAGTAGGTTGAACCTATCATATATCTAATCTTTTAAAAATAAAAATTAGCATGAGGTTGATACTAGATCATAAATCATATAAATCTCTCTCATATAATTTGTTAGCAACAGTTAAAGCAATGGTAAAGCTCCCAGGATCTTTAACTTTTTTAGGAAGTTTTTTTTCAATTATAGCATTAAACTTCTCAGTTAATGCCATAGTTTCAAATTCCCCTAACTTTCTATTTTTGTTCAAAATATCCTTCATAAATTTTTCATAAGTGGGCATCTATTCTAAAGCTTCAAGGAAAGGTATATTATTGGTTAATTTTTTAAAAACTTCTAAGAATTTTGAGAATTGCTAGTTTAGATTTTGTTTGACCAATATTTGAGAGTAAGGTGGTGGTAGTCTCTCTACATCCCTCCTAATTACTCATTCACATTCTTCTTTAAGTTTAAATTATTATGCTGAAGATTTATTTTCTACTTACTCAGCTTCACTATCATCCTTCTAAGGTAAATCTCTATCTTTGTAAGGATCTCCTAAATCTTTCTCATTTCTACATTGGATATTATGACATTATTCTTTCATTTTAAATAATCAACCTATCTAGTTAGGCTATTTGATCCTCAATTTTTTTAAGAGCAGAAGATTGATTTTAAACTTGGATTCCTAGTTGTAGAATAATATTTTTCAAGGGCATTTTCTCTTTTCTATCATAGTGTTGTTCAAAATATGAGGGATAATGCTGTAGTACTACGTGGTGCTGTGTGGGGGTGCTAAGATTTTTAGAATTTTTATTGAAATTATCATATCCATCTTTTCTGGTTTTAATTTTCAAGTTATCCATTTTTTTAGAAATTGTTACAACTTGTGCAATCAAGATTGATAAAGCATCAAATTTATAAATTTAGTAGGCTAGTGTAAATTCTTAGTATTCATTTCCTCTATTAATTAATATGCACTCTCAAATGTCTTAGATATTAATGATCCTCTAATTACAAAATTAATTATAGCTCTAAGAGATTCTACTAATCTATTAAAAATTATTTGAATAACGAACCAATCAGGTAAAGCACGGTGAGAGCATTTTCTAAGTATTTCCATAAAATTTTCCCATCTTTCATAAATGGATTCTCCTTCAAACTGAGTTAAAGAACTTATTTCATTTCTATATTTGATATTTTTTAATGGTGGGAAATACTTTGGAAGAAACTTATGAGCCAACTCATTCCAAGTAGCTATAGAGCATGGGGGTTAAGAATTTAGCCACATCTTAGCTTTATGTCTTAGAGAAAAGGAAAAAAAATCTAAGTCTAATAGCATCATTACTGACACCATTCTTCTAGAATATTGCATAATTTTTTTAGAAGCAAACTAAATGTAAATTGGTATCTTCTAAGCAGCTCCCAAACTGAGAGTTTTGAACCATTTGAAAAATGACAAGTTTTAATTCAAAATTATTTGCCTGGATTATAGGTACATTCATGCTCTGATGAATTCCATCTTCTAAAGGGCTTGCATAATCCTTAAAAGGTCTAGAATGATTTTTATATAACAATGGTTCAATCATTTTTAATTTTTTTGGTTTTTTTTGAATTTTAGAATGGGTTATCTCAATTTTAGTATCAAACAATAAAAGTTCCTTTGTATGGCTATAAAGAATGCATGTAAAATTATTTAATTAGTAATCAAAGTAATTAAAAATAAAAGTTATAATTATGTCTAACTATTCACTTAATTTAATAATAAAGTTGGAATTTACAAAGAGTAAAATACTTCCCTGACAATGATGCTAAAAAATTGGTGGGGGGTTGTGGAGTGCACTTTTGAATTATTAAAATTTTTAGGGCTCTATTTCTTAAATAATTTTTAGGCTTTCTTGGATATATTAAAAATAACAAACCCCACTTAATATAAATAAGTATATGTACTGAATTAAGAAATAAAGTGAAAGAGTAGAGTGAAACCATGAGGAAGTATGCTATCTAATAAAACAACTACTGATTACTCTAATTACAAAATTATAATGCCGAAATAAAAATATTGGTTGTGGAGATTCAATCACTGAATAAATAAAAATAATAAAAACAAAGGATATAAATTTTAAATAAAGTATTTTGGAGTGATGAATAAACATTGTATATCTTTTCTAGCATAACTCAAATTTTTAAATGTGATTCAAAGCATAAGTATCCCTAGATCTCTATTGAGCATATAAGGGTGAAAAGGGTATATGCTAACCTCCTAGTATTATATGATCTCCTTAAGAACCTAGTATATTTTACATCCTTTATCTATGTAAGAAAACATAGTAATTTAATATTACCGATTGTTCTTGCATTCCTTTATTAAGGCTATATACCACAATAGATTTTACCTACATATATGGCCACTATGTGTATTAAATAAAGAGTGAAAAATATTGAAAACATCATATAACTTTATAGAACAAGAATCTTCATTAGTACTTAATATATTCTCTACATCTTCAATCCAAAATTAAAGAATTAGATAGACATGGAAGAAAAGTCAAGCAAACTCAATTTTATGAAAATCATAGAAAAATAAATTACAAGAGAGTGATATCACTTGGAAGGATCAATGTATCTCCTCTACAGTCCATCTTAATTTATGGAGTTTCTCAAACAAATACTAACTAAACACTCTAATAATTATATCTAGCACTTCTATAATCTCCCTTAGAATTGAATTCAAGAGAGTTTTAAAGTACTCTGAAATGTACTAAAATTAGACAAGTGATTAAAATTTTTTACAAATATTACAACACTACTATTTTTAGGATAAAATAGAAATAGCAGATGGTTCCCTTCGGAAGAATTAACGCTCTGAAACTGGAACTTCTGCACTACCGTAGTGCTTGCTGAGGTGGAATGGTTACTTAGTGAACATTATCATTGCTTCACCAACAGATCATGTCACTTGGAAGCTACAATTTATAAGATGTAGTGTGGATGACTTTATGATGATGTGACACTAGATAGTAGATTTAGTTCCAAGAAGTGATAGATTGTACCACCGTGGTGCTTAAAGTCATAGAGCGCAGTGCTGCTAAGCTGACCATTTTGATGTTGTGGTGCTTGAAGAAAGTGAACATGGAACTGCCAAGTTGATTATTTTTATGTGGTAGATCTTAAAAATAGTGAACATGATGCTACCTTAGTCAAGTGTGGCACCTCAGAGGTGTGGAAGATGGCGCTACGACGTAGAATTTTTGGACACTACGACGTTTTTATATACTCTAGATTTTCTACAATTTTAAAGTATTTTATACCCAAACAGTTAAATTACACATTTAAACTAAAAAAAACATATATAAAAATATACTTTAAAATACTCTTTATAAGAGTAAGTCTCCCCCCAAAATTCAACAAATTAAACTCCCAAGAAGCTAACTGATTATGAACAAAGTTAATATTGTCTTAAAGAAGAAAGGGCCTCTTCTTGTCTATGTAAAGAGGAACCTCCAAATACTTATTAGGATGAGAACAGTGCATAAAACTAGTAATACAATTAATATTACTAATTTGATACTAAAGCATATTCTTATAAGTAATAAAAAAACCCTTATTATTATTATTGAAAGACCACTATTATTTTAAATTTATGCAAAAATCTTATACGGATATTAACCATGTTCAAAGAACCATTAGTACATATAATAATATCATCAGCAAAGCTTAAATGAGAAATAAGAGAACCACCTAATATTCTATAAATCAAATTAGGGTGATTGACATATAAGTTTTGAGTGCCTCTAGATAAATACTCAACATCTAAAATAGATAAAGGATCACCCAGTCTTAAACCTCGGGTAGCTTGGAAAATGCTAGAACTCTTACTATTAAGTATCAAAGAGAAATAACAAACTTAAATGCAATTTTTAATATGCTGAATGTAAGCCAAGTTGAAACCAAATAACAAAAGAATGTTATAAATAAAACTTCAATTAATGCAATTCTTTTTGAATGTTCAATTAATGGCATCGTCGTCTCTCTGAGCTCTAAGTTCAGAGACAATTTTGGGGCGATTCTAGGGCTTTGTTGCGTACGTTGGTTTGCTTTTCTCATGGTTTTTTCTCTTCATTATTTTCGATCGTTTACTCTTCCTTTATGCATTTTATTGTGTTTCATTTCTTTATTTTGAGGTTTCGTTGATTTTTGGTGCTGGGCGATGACGACCCCATCATCATTGAACCCGACATCTTCCTCTCTTTTTGAGGGGAAATCACATTCCTTTAAAGATGTTTTAGCAGGATCTTCGTCTTCCTCTTCAAATTTGAATTTTGTGCAGTCTTCCTTCAAGGGCTATATGGCTCTCTTATTTGAAGACTCAGTTGTTGATCAGTTAGCAGCACCTTATGCTTTGATGCTTGTTGGTAAATTTGTGTTGAGATGACCTAACCTTGATGTTATACAAAAAAAAAATTAAACCTAAAACTTTCTGGATCGTTTCACATTGGATTACTTGATCAAAGACATGTTTCTATCCAACTTGCTAATGATCTTGATCATAGCCACTTTTTTTATAGGAGATCTTATTATATTCAAGCGTGTCAAATGCGGTTGCTTAAATGGACTCTGGATTTTGATGTTAGGGAGGAATCCTCTATTGCTATGGTTTGGATTTCTTTTTCGAATTTGAGACTACACTTCTTTAATCATCAAATTCTTTTTGGTATGGCTTCTATTTTTGGGAGACCATTACAAAATGACCAAGCTACTGCTATTGTGTCCAGGCCATCTGTTGCTCGGGTGTTAGTTGAACTAGATGTTTTTAAAAAATGTCCTAGTGAGATATGGATTGGGTCAGAAGTTAAGGGGTATTTCCAAAAAATTTGAGTTTCAAAATTTACTTATATTTTGTTCTTTTTGCAAGATGCATAGACATGGCATTAATGACTATTTTCAGAAACATCCTCATCTCCGTAAAGAAAAGGATTCATTGAAACAAAATGAGGGGGTGGTTTCTCAAGTTGTCTCTAATCCTATTTAAGCTAATTTAGAGGCCAATACCTCTAATCCTCTTAGACATTTGAGGACCCGATGTTGGTTAATGTGGAGGACCCTCTTCCTTCTATTACTTATGATGTTTCATTGAATCATGATTAAGGACTTATTATTCAATCTTTTGTTGTTCCTACTATTGCATGTGAAAAGAAAATGGTGTATACTTTGAATAGTATTGAAGTTCCTAATATTGCTATTGTTGAAACTACCCCTTCTTGCACTTTTAATCAAAAAGTTAATGACTCTAGTGGTATTATGCTTATCTCTACTTCTACTAATCCTTTAAATGATCAAGAAGTTTTGGCTATTCAAATGCCTTGAAAAGAGGGTGGGAGGAAATATATCCCTTTAGAGGAACGTGAATTTGTTTCTATGGAAAATGGCTTGTCTATCTCTAAATACATTGAAGAACTTATTGTGAGGAACCGTGAGACTATAGAGGATGATGGTATGTTTATGAAGGATGAATGTCCTCAACAGACTTCTCTAAGGGAACACGCAAGTGGTAGTAAGACTATATCTACTTCTTATTATAATAGTGATGCTTTGATTGATATAGAGGATATGCATATTGATGCAAAATGTTTTTCTAAATATGATAATGATTTTAGTTTTAGTAAAGTTCATAGTAAAAGAGGAAGGAAGCCTAAGCATATTTATTTAAAACCTCCTAAAAACACTCGATCACATACTTCCAATAAAGTTTTTTTCTTTATGTTTAATGTTAGTATTTGAAATGTGAGGGCATTGGTTGTCCTTCTTCTAAAATTCATGTTAAGAACTTATGTCGTGTTTATAACCTTTCTATTCTTGTGTTTCTTGAGCCTCTTATTTTTTGTTCTAGGTTGTTAAACACTTCTCATTTTTTGGATTTTAATCATGCTATTTCTAATGTGGCTAACATGATTTGGGTTTTCTAGAAATACTCGGTTAAAATTGATGTTATTTGTGATTTTACTTAGGTCTTGCATTATAATGTTGAGGCTCTTAATTTTAATTTTTGTGCTTCTTTTTGGTATGCTGCTTCCTCTCCTTATAATAGAAAATTACTTTGGGAGCAACTTATTGATTTTCATAATATTTTCAATTTGTCTTGATTTGTTGGTGGTCATTTTAATGCTATCACTAACCCTTTTGAAAGGATTGGAG